TCTAGTTTTGATCCTCTGTGCTGGAGATGGTGAGATGAGGACAATTGTGCCATTACCTACAATATGATATTCCAAGAGACAAATATACACATCTTGAGGTTATTTAAAATCATACATGTACAATATACACAATTCAAGGTGCTTCAAAGTGCTTGGTGATTCCCATAGGCAAACCTAAAGACAGGATACAGTAGAAGAAAACCTTAAACCCTAGTTTGTGATCTGATTGCATTGTGATGGTATGATATGATAGAGCAATCTTAGGGGCAAAAATTAGGGTACAACAATATGTCCACCACACTCTTAAAAACTCGAAAATATCTCTAGCGTCCGAAAATATATTTCCTGAATGTCTTTTTATACATTCTTAAGAGATACATCTACAAAATATTTTGGAGATGAACTTTGGTAAATATATATATATATATATATATATATATATATATATATATATATATATATATATATATATATATATATATATATATATATATATATATATATATATATATATATATATATATATATATATATATATATATATATATATATATATATATATATATATATATATATATATATATATATATATATGTTGTGGCCTCTTTGAGTCAATTGCAACCAAATTGGAAAATACATTGCACATTGAATTGCAAGTTTGTTGACATGAAAAACATCTAAAATAATTTCAATTTTAAGCTTTTGATTATGATTATTTGTGTTTCTTAAGTGAAAAATGGAATAAACAACTTCTAATGTTGTACTCTTGGAAGAGTGAAGAGAAAAGAAAAGTGAAATACTCTAATGAGGAAAGGGAAATGATTGCGAGCAAAGCAGTCTATCTAGTGGTTGAGTAGGCCTTCAATGTCGTCACAGAGGGTGAGGGAGATAACTGAGTCAACAACTTCCGACACTCAGCGGTTTCTGACGACTCAGAGGCGGTAGTGTGTGGGGCTATCATCCTTGTGAAGGTCGTCGATTTTGGTGGGTACCTCGTGCTATCATATGTTGTAGTCCACAAAACCATCATTTGTCTCCTTGAATGGTAATTCGTTGGATTTCTTCTTGCGTGTGATTGTGGATTTTGGAGGGCGAGTTGACTCGGTTGCGCCACTGAGTTGGATGCAGTTAGGGGCAATGCTAGCCATTAAAATGGGAGTGGCACTATGGAACATCATTGAAGAATGAAAATAACTGTGCTTATAGAGGTGATGAAACATATATATGTAACATACACATTACATACATGTTTACGAGTGAATCTTTGAATTCATAGGTTTTGTAAATGCTTAGGTTTGATTAGAAATCCATGTATATGATGTTAAATTGTGTTGTGATGTTTTGGTTAGAAATTACATGTTAGATATATGTTATAATGCCTTAAATCGTAGTAATTTGGATGTTAAAATGTGTTTTTGGGGTTAAAATCGCACATGAACAATGTTGTCATCGCATGGAACTTTCTATAAATCGCATAGGACGCTTAGCACTGTTTTGCATGCTTAGCGCCAAATTCTCAAGAAGTGAAGGCGCTTAGTGCCTATAGCTCGCTTTGCACGACCTGGAAGTTGAAATTTTATATATTTCTTTGTTTTTATGTGGAAATATGTATTATACTGTTTTATAATAATTTATAATTAATTTTAGATTTTTAAAAATAAGTGTTAGATGAATTTTGAATGCTTATTTGATAAAAATATGAAACTTTATTTATATGTTTTATGTATGCTTGTGTTTTGGAGTTGAATTATAATGACACTGTTGTATATTGCATGTTATGTGATATTATAATGGTTTGGTGTGGTTATACTACGAAAGTGAATTGTATGCGGATATAATTCATGAATATATGTACGTATATATAATTGTGTGATAATTCAATTGTGATAAATTATTTAAGATATATATATATATATATATATATATATATATATATATATATATATATATATATATATATATATATATATATATATATATATATATATATATATATATATATATATATATATATATATATATATATATATATATATATATATATATATATATATATATATATATATATATATATATATATGTTAATATTGAAGGATATTTTTAATTGCATATGGTTGTTGAAATTACACATGTATCATTATTGTCAAGAGACAATACTTGTTAGTTTTGTGGGAGCTAGTGACTTGTCCCAAACCTAGAGCGGGGTTTGAAATTTTAGGGAACAAAATTTTGTGTGTTATTGGTCTAGGGAACTGACATGGTTTAAAGTAAAAACCGAACAAAAATAACAGTGATTGATACCACATGCATGAATATTGAATTTGAGTCTTGCATTGAGTCATATTGTGTTATGTCATAATATGAAGTTATGTGCACTATGTGAAAGTGAAGTATTTGTGGAATTGTGAATTGTAAGTGTATACTTTTGAATAGTATGAACAATTGTGTGATGCTAGGTATGTAAAGCATATGAAGTGTGAGTGTATTCATCTCTAGCAACATGGAACCTCAGCCAAAGTTTTTCTTCCTCCACTAGAAGTTGATCTTTCTTTGGTGAATCCTGAACAAGAGATTCAACTTTATGAGAAGCTTGTTGTGATTGGGGTTGACACTACTTCTGGAATTGCGAAGTTCTTTGAGGCTACTTCCGCGTCTGCTTCTACTTTAGAGATTATGTTGAAGACTCTGACAGAGTTGAAGAAAGAGAATGTTGTAGTCAGAACTCGTTTAGACCAACAAGATAAGATGTTCAAAGATAAAAAATAAACCAACTCCAGAATGTAATTTATGATGAATACGATTCTGACAAGACTACCACCCCATCCTAAAACCTTTTTTAGTTTACCTTTAAAGGATTTTTGTTTGGTTTCAACCTTTTGTGTTTCTGATTCTGTACCTTTATCTGATTAATCAATGAAGTTCTTATTTTTGTTTCATTTCTAAGTCTTTTTTATTAATGACAAAGGGGAAGAAAGTGAATGATTTTGATATACCTATTTCTCAAATACTTATCCCATACATGTTCTGATATATTTTATCTCTAACGATTGTTTGACTGATCAAGAACTTTGAGAAAGTTTATTGAATTACTTCTAAATAGGAAAGTCAGAAGTTCATACAACCAAGTTCATATAACTCTGAAAATATATCATGCTTTGATATTCGAAAGTCAACCAGGATCAGAAACTTTGAAGATTTATCTTGTTCTAATCAATAGAAGTCTTGTTAACCAGATATTTGTTTAAAGGAAATCTAACTAAACTCATATACACCAACCAAGTTCTGATACTCATACCAAAGCTAGGCTTTGAGATGATGAACCAGGCATTACCTTTCAGACTCTGATAGTGTGAAACTAAGGCTCTGATACTTCATCAAGTTTTGATAGCAAGGTAGACTCTGAGATGACGAACCATACATTACTATCAAGACTCTGATAGTGTGTTAATCATGAATGTATTCCTTTCATACTAATTGATAATATTTTATACTTTACATTTGGATGATTGCCAAATATTTCTTCTAATTTAATTAGAGATTCCAGATTCAAATCCATTCTTGAGAATACATAGTGTTAAATATATTAAGAATTTTTTTTGTTGTTTATTGTAATATTTCTCAATTTGAGACATTATACTCAAATATGATACTAGGATGATAAAATAATTTTAATTCAATAAAAAACATTTTAATTAATTTTTATTTCAAAATCTACTTTCCAAAAAATTCAACAAAATCTGTATATTTTGATTTGGAAGAAATATTTTATAATAAGTGATACGAAATCTCAATTGAGTATAAACGTTTTTTTAAGAGATATTAATTCCTCTAATAAAAGGTGTGATAGTCTCAATTAAACACTACACAATTTATATTAAAAAAATAGTGTATTGAGTATTAAATTGTTATTTAATAAAAATTTATCAATTATGTCATATAATTTATTTAAAAATTATGATATAATTTAATATTTAATATGATTGTGATTGATTAACAACATAAAATTAATGTATATTCTTTATTCTTTATTTTATAATTGTGAGAAATCTTAATTGAGTTTTAATAAATTCTTTCATTGTTTCAATTAGGAGGATTCGTGATGCAGTTTGAGCGGTTTTGACTTAAAAAGTCATTCGAACCGGAAAAAAAAAGTGTGCGGTTCGGTTTACTTTAGTTGGATTTAGAAATAAAACCAAACCAAACCAGACTAATGTGGTTTGTCTTTGATTCAGTTGACTCGATTTTTTACAAAAAAATTATTGAATTATACATACACATAGATGACAACATATCTTTGTATTTAATTATTTATACGTTATCAAATAACAATAAAATTCATTATATTTGAATGATCACTTTCTATTTAACATATAAAAATAAGATTAAAGAAAAGTAGAATAAAAAATATAATATAGTAACATAAAAAAATATTAAAAAATATTATAATGAAACCGATAAATAGAGGAGATGAAAGATTAGAGAAGATGAAAAGAAAGAGTAGAAGAGAAGAGAGATTAGAAAAGAAAATGTGTATTAAAAATATAATTGAAAAAGAAAACAATAGATTAAAAATAAGAAGATGAAAAAAAAAGAATATAAGAGATGAAAGACTAGATAAAAAGATGTGAAATGTACATGAAAAAAAGACGAGTAGAAGATAATACCTCTAGAAGAGGTTTGAAAAAATTTAAATTCAAATCTTAAGTGTGAAGAAGAGAAAATAATTTATAATTTTAAAATTAAAATATAATAGATTTGAGTTAGAATGTGTGTTAATTATAATTTAGTTGGGTTTGTAATCATAATTTTTTATTGAACCGGTTCAGTTTTGAAGAGACTTCTCCCCAAACAAAGATTTCATGACTTAAAATCGGTTAAAAGATATCCGAATCCTTGAATCCCTAAGTCCATAATAGAAGAATAACAATCCATTTTCCAAAACAAATGAAGAGAAAAATGAACTCGTAAGTAGTAACACCGGTGAGAGAGAGTTTCAAAATATGTCTCTGTTCCTGCAAACACATTACACACTCTTTCAACCTTCACCGCCTCACCCTTCCCTCTTCTCACATCGAAACCGTAACTCTAACCCCTACAATTTCTCCCCTCTAATCCCTACGGAACCTCCCAAATCCCAATTCCAATTTCCCCATAACCGTTCCCCGGCCTCCACTATCTCCGCCTCCCGCCGGGACACTTCAGAAACGCCGCAACTCAAGTTGCCCCTTGCTCTAGTGCACGTAACTGTCTCCGCGGTGCTGTTTCTCTGCTGCGGCACTCGTGCTTGTTTGGCCTCTTCTCCTCCTCTAACCACCGTGGTTCAGCAGGAACAAACTATCCAAGGTTTCCAACACTTTTTTCATTATATAATTCCGTAACTTCTAGATTGAAATTATATTCTATTGATTTTGATTACCTGTTGAAAAATAAATTTCTATTAACTAGGATTTTGCAGAAGAAATGAAAATTAAGCAAATGAAAATGCGTACAAAATGTAAATTACCGAATTGTGATATGTGGTTTTGTATGTTATTTATCATTGCAGATGATAATGATGCAAGGAAACAAGATGGCAGTGAAAAGATAGATGTAGATAAGGAGTTAGAAGCATCTTTTAATGCTTGGAAGTCTAAAACCTATGCATTGACTGTTCCTTTGAAAGTTGTTGCTTTGCGTGGCTCTATTCCTCCTTCATGGATCAAGGTCTGTCACACACATTCCTTTACATGCCTTTTGTCATCTATTAACTTATAGTTGACTAGTGCGCAGACGGGAATCCGTCTGGCCGCTCTTTTTTGATTTGTTATCTATATCCTTGCGCCAATGCAAGATGAAGTCTATTTGTGAAGTCAATGAACATAAATCTGGGTGCAACCCAGAGAATGGTAGAGTATCAATTTAGAACTGCAGACGGGCACTGCCGTTCCTGTCTAGCCGCTCTTTTTTCTCTTTTTTGTTTTGTAATATATATCCTTGTGTCAATGCAAGATGACGTCTATTTGTGAAATCTATGAACATAAATCTGGGTGCAACCCAGCCACGTCTTCCTATGTTAGCTTCAAACTGACAGCGGAATGTATGAAACTCTTGATAGACATAATCAAATTGCTCATTCATAACATCCATAAATCCGAAAAAGTCCTGTATGATAGTATTGACATCATCTTGGATAGTGTTAAGCGCTTGCCTAAGGGCGTCAATTTCCGAAAGATGATTACCAGGAGGGGCAGCATGTTCAGCAGAAGCAAATGAAAAGGTATCGGAGAGAGGAACAGAGTAGTGGTCATAGAGTTGATGTGTCTCAGGTGGAGGGGGTGCCTCGCTTTGACCTTCTAAGTCAAAAAGCCAATTATTTCTATTGTGTACACTAGTCCTCTCGTGGTTTGACAAAGTAAAAAGGTGTACAACTATATTGTTAATCAGAAATTCAAACTCATTAGGTCCTAGGTTTCCAATTATGCCACGGTTGAAACAAAATTGAATGTGCATAGGTCGGATTCCGCCTAGAGGGTCACTTCTACTAAGTTGGTATCTAAGTCCAATGACATTAGCAATCATGGTAACTAGTACTCCTACAATGATAGGTCCATGGGTAGCTCGGGAAATATGATCCATGTTAGCTAGCATAAAGGTAGCAACATTAACAAGTCTGGGTTGGGAAGCACTGTAAATAATGAATAAATCATCTCTGGACATAGAAGTGATGTTCTCTTTTTTTTTTCTTTCCGAATATGGTATAAGCTAGGATTTTGTGGTAGTAACGGATTGCTGGATTATGAATATTTTTAGAATACATGTCATTTGGCTCAGGGTGGTTGTTTTCGGTAATGCTACCCAAAAGTAGTTAAGCTCAAGGTCCATAAGAACTTCTTCTTGAGTAATAGTAAAGACATCAGGGCCATTAGGGAGTTCTAAAAGTTCAGCCATCTCTCGGTGGTTATAATGGTGATCAATACCAAACATCCTAAAGGTGACTATGCCTCTGTTAAACCCCATCCCTCGGTTAGACTCATAGGAACTTGAACTCAGGAATTCAAGGGTTAGCATACGGTAAGAACTAAATTTTCTCCTCATAGCAAAATTGTCCCAGCCTAACTGGTTAAGCAAAAACATGACACTATCTCTAATTCCTAGTTTAATCACGGTAAGTCCATCAGGGTAAATGGTTAGTGCCATCTCTCTCTGAGCTAGAACTTCAAGGCGCCTCCTCTTGGCTCTGCCTCTGAAAATGATATCCATAGTGTCTGCTTGTTGCATCTCTTTTTAAGTTCGTAAGAACTGTTAGCTTATGCTATGTTAGCCTGAAAGTAGACATATATTAAGTTAGTTATGGTCAATACAAAAGTGGCTTTAACAACACTTTAAAATCCATAAAAGCATATGTTTCTGCCACTGTTTGAATTAAAATTGCGCATTTAATGTCCATGGCGGACGGCAAAAATGCGGGTTTTAAAACGCAGCCACTCGTTTTCCAACTTCTATTCCCCATTATCATCATTATCTCCCATATAACTCCTCTCCAAAACCTCCTAATCAAGCTCTCCCACCTTCTAACTTCCATTTTTACCACTCCATCATTCTTTAAACCCATTACCGTTACCTCTTCCTCCACAATCTCACTCATTCTTCCATCAACCTCTCCAAAACCCCAATCTCACAAAAACCTAACACTATGCCTCCAAGAGCAGAAAGACAATGAACAACAAGGGCATCTCTGGATACCATGAACATCTAGTTCAAAGATGGCGAGGATGGTGAACGTCGGCTAAACCGGTACACCAAACTATTCAACCGGACAGTTCGTCCGACCAGGTATGTTGACGAAAACTGTCTGCGTGAATTGGGATTACAGAGAAGTGTGAATTTGATGCTAGATGGGTTAGACTTGGCATATTTTTGTGCATTGCGCGACCTGACCTACACCAAACTGACCTTAGATTTTTTAAGCTCTTTCGAGTATTACACTCCTCGGATGAGTCACAACACTGCAGGCACAGTAAAATTTAGGATGTAACATTTATAATTTCACATTTAAAGAGAGAGAGAGAGAGAGACATTCCCATGTTGGAAACAAATTTCGTTTGTGTGCAACAATTTTGTTTACCCACATGGGAATGTCTATTCTGCAAATGCTTTAATTTGTTTCCAACAATTCTTTCTTATGCTCAATTTTGACCTACTACGTACTTTCAGTTTTGTTGACTTGAGTTTGTCTATGAATTGTAATTTAAAATATAAAATATAGATTACTCATGAAACACGATAACTACTCCATAAGAAGAAACTAAGACTGTAGATGTCTCATTCCATATTGAAAAATTGCAATTTATCAGCATATTCAAAGTTAGGACAGGATCATATTCACACAAATTATGCACTTGAGTGAGTGAAGGGAATATTTAAAAATGGTAGAAAATGAAAAAAAGAGATTGAAGCAAAACTCTCCCTTAATTGACACCTTTATAGATACTTGGCAAAAGTATACATTTGGATTATGTCCTGCTTGCGGTTTCTTATTACTCTAGTTGACTACTCCTCTTGATCTCTGTTTCTGCTTGTAGGAAAGTATTTGCTTTCCTTAAGAGGTTTAAAACCTCAAGAAAATGTGGTAACCGTTTAAAAAAGAAAGGAATCACTATCAATTTTTAAGTTATTAATTGGAAATAAAATAGGCTACTCCAAAAAAATTATTGCCTTTATATATTATTATAGATTATAGATTGTAGGTGATCGATTTTAGTAAATTATTGTAGTTTTTCATGTGATTTTTTCTTCACTTTTAGGACTTCATAAATTCTCAAGGGAAGAGAATGTCGTTTGACGTGAAGTATTATGCAAGTCTTGACAGCATCTTCTCTGGTCTATCCATTCCTTTTACCAAAGGAAATCTTGGCCCAACATCTCCTTTGGCAGCAGATATTGTCGGTATTGGTGATTCATGGCTAAAATTTGCCATTAAAAAAGCTGTAATTGAGCCAATACAGGATGTAGATGGCCAGGAATGGTTTAAAAACTTAGCTGAGAAATGGAAGGTAACATTATTTTGTATTCTGTATTTCTCCTACTTAGAAATTGTGGCTCAAGATTGGTTTTGTTCTTTTATAATGAAACCATTTATTTTCTGCACTTTTTTCTGCTTGATTTGATTCATCTTCTTTCATGAGTATGCATGTATGATTATTTTTTTCATGAAAAACAACCACGAGGAAACAAAGACTTCATAATTGCCCGTGTGCTTTTGTATGTATGACAATTTAAAATGAGTGCTACTCATAGTGATCTCTCTTACATGGTAAAGTGACATCACTGCACATATTTTTTTATACATGAGCACAGTTTTTTGAATTAACATGTTAGCAAAATTAAATGGATTTTACGGCTGGTCACTTGGAATAAGTGTCCTGTGTTGGGTTCTAATTCTGTTATTAACGTTTTAAAAGATATGATATATGATAGAGTATTATGGCGTCGTTTGATCCATGTAGTCAATACCACCTAGTGGGATAAATCACTGGGAGAATCCGGTATGTATATACCATTGGTTTTTGTTGCAAGTGCTCAAGATTAATTATAGCATATCCAATGGTTAGTTATTGTCCTTTGGGAGTGTATATGTTAGACTTCTTATAGTGACAGTTATGGACAGTTTTGGGAAGTTATTACGTCAGATATATTATTTAATTTTTGGAATAAATAGAGAAAGAAAAGGAGAAACTGATTTTGGGATAGTTATTGAGCGGTTTTGGGTGGGAGAGACCAAGACTCTTGAATTTCTTGGATAGTAATTGCTTTATATCTATTATATCATTGTCTCTAAACTTTGTCTTATGAACTGGTATGTTAACTCTGTATTAACAATGTAAACTGTTGTATTAGAAGAAATCTGCAGAGGATTGTTCGATTATTTCTGTTTTCTTTACCATAATTCACTTACTATAGGTACCAGTTCTATCAGTATGTTGTTGATAGTACAACATTACATTCCCTGACAAAGTTCCAGGTATACCTACGCAGGAACTGTGAGGGAGAAATGGATCCTGAAGGTGATGTATGGGCTGTCCCATATCGATGGGGTTGCATGGTAATTGCATACAAGACAAATAATTTTCAAAAGTATAAGTTGGCTCCTATAGCGGTATGTTGTTTTCTATTCGACCTTGTAAAACTCTGGTAAAGCATTTATTAGATATTTTGATTAAATTAGATATTTAAAATGGAATTGTAGGACTGGGCTGATCTGTGGCGGCCTGATCTTGCGGGGAGGATTTCAATGGTAGATTCTCCTAGAGAAGTTGTTGGTGCAGTATTAAAGTATATGGGGGCTTCCTATAATGCAAATGACATCAATTTGGAAGTTAATGGTGGAAGAGATGCAGTTAAACATAATTTAGCATTGCTTGCAAAACAGGTACTGTTACCCACTGATCTCTCAACTGTTGATGTCCCATTTAATTGGAGTAGAGGGGAAATACATGAAAGTTTAGTTGACAGAAAATAGTACTGTCCATTTTTTTCCAAATTATAAATATAAGTTACTGTACTTTTATGTATTTCTAGGTTCGACTCTTTGATAGCGAAAACTATCTAAAAGCTTTTGGAGTTGGAGATGTGTGGGTAGCCGTTGGATGGAGTAGTGATATTATTCCAGTGGCTAAACGCATGTCTAATGTTGCAGTTATCGTCCCAAAGTCTGGAGCGAGTTTATGGGCTGACCTTTGGGTATGTCTCTCATTGTGCTCTTGTTTTAGAGGGTTTGTTATCTGATTGTTTAATGGTTTTGATATAGCAGTGTGATTCAAATATCAATATGGGATTCAGAAATCATTTACCTATTCATTGATAATAGTTATGAATTTATCTTTTTTAGACACTAGACATTGACCTTTCTCCACCTTTTTTTTTCCGTTTTTGTTTGGGTTTCCCTAGGCAATTCCTGCCGCCTCTCGGATTCAAACTAGTCTGATTGGTGGACGCGTAAGGGGACCGTCCCCATTAATCCATCAGTGGATAGAGTTTTGTCTGCAATCTGCAAGAGCACTTCCCTTTAAGCAGGAGGTGATTCCAGGTGCCTCTCCCCCTCTTCTTCAAGGTCATTCCGCCAATGTGTCCTTGGAGTTGGCCAAGGGTAGGCCAAGGCTAAACACCAATCTCATTGATGGAGCACCACCACCTAACATTTTAGAAAGGTGTGAGTTTTTAGAGCCATTATCTAATTCAGCAGTGTCAGATTACCACTGGTTGCTTGACTCAATTCAAAAACCTGGCAATGGATTGATACAGAGAGTGCGTCAGTATATCTCATCAGCGGTCTCATTTTCTGGATGATTTCATTCATATATGGCTTGAACACATTCATTGGACCCTGAAATACATGCCACAAATCTGTGATTTTAACTTCCAGAAACATCCAAGGTTGGTTGATGTTGTTTGAAGACTTGCTGAGGTCGATTTTCAAGATTGTTGGGTTGTAATAATGCTGGTGGAGCTGTACGAGTTAACTGCCCATTCGCTTGCCCTCTTTTATATTGATAGACTTCAAAATTTTCTGTAAAATTCATAAAAAAAAGTTATTAATGTGCAAAGTACTTGAAGTAATTTGTTTTTCATGTATTTTTGTCTACTCTAGGAGATTTATTGTTTGTACAAATCAACACGAAGCAAATATTGGACAACTTCTTAAAGCTGCGAAAGGGAGTGATTATAAATGCTAAGTGATCAACATGGCTTTTTGTACCCTTCTATCTCCGGGCGTTTCCCCCCTATCTCTGCCATCCATGGAAAATAAAAAAATAACGATTTTAGTATTACTTTTAAACAAATAAAGATTAAAAATATATTAAAATTTGATGTATATAGTTTTAAACAAATAAAGGCCTTATTGAGTTTATAACAAGGGCCTATGGGTTGGGTAAATACAACAAACTAGGCCAAATTGATCTAAAAAAACTGGTTGGACCAGATTATTTGGTGAACATGGAGATTTTGTCATGTAGCCCTTTCAAATGTACCTGATACCCCCTAATTTTTTATAATACTAAAAAATAATTCTTGTCAATTTTTTAGTTAAATATATCGCACGAAAAGTTTGGTAGTTAAAGTTAAAAATACGGTATGAATGCAAAAAATCCAATAGGTCAGTATAAAAGCCCGGTATGAATTTTTACTGATTTTTATATAAGCAATTGGTGCTTTAAAACACCATGGATTATTGGAGTTTTTCCAAAATGGTGAAAAATATAGTAGTGTTAAATCATTTTTTTTAAAGATCATGTGTTTACTGTATATTTAGCGAGAATATAAAATATTTGGTAGTTTGAAGTTTAACGGTTGAGATTTTGTCGATAATTTTATACGATTATGATTGCACCGATAATTATGTGTGGTCCGTAATGAATTCAAACTTGTATAAATATGGATCATATGTTGTTAAAAAACTTCTTAGAATGTTTCAATATTCGTATCTGACAGTTATGAGCGTGAAATCTCATATTAATTTTCGACTCTTTGAGGACACCCTACTCTCGCTGTTATGAGATCCAAATTAGATAATCTGTTGCCCCAAACTGACAACAGAAAGATGATTAAGATTGAGTTTCGTGTATCATTGGTTGCTATTGAAGGAAAGTTGAAATATAACAACTTTGAAGTGAAGAGTAACAAAGGAAGGTTATGTGAAGAACATATCATTGTAGGTCAACAAAGGGACCGATTGAGTTTGATGAGACAATTGTTAGATCTGTCGATAATATTATCAAGATGTTGAAACGTCCAAAATCATCTAGTAGTGCTTAAGTTTTGTTATTTATTATTGTTTTGTTAAATTATGTTATTTTTCGTGTTAAGTGATGTTAATCCCGTAATAATCCAATGTTAAATGTTTATGGAATAAACTGTTAAGTTAAAATGTCAGTAATATATAAATAATATCAAAATAATAAAATTTACATAGGTTTTCCACATGCTATGTGTGCTATCTGTGATGCAAAAGTATAAATTTTATCATCTAGGTTTATCAAATCCATGAAGTTATCTTTAAGTACTATTATCATCTGTAGACGTTGTTGGTCAGCCACACCAGATGAAGGCGGTGGCACGTCATCGAAAGGTCCCGTAACATCAGATGTTATTTTTCGTGTTATTTTATCGAGTTGGGTAAGGAGAATTTCTTTCTCCACCTGTATGTGTTGAGTTAAACCTCTTAAAACCCGAAATTTCCCTTCGGATGTGCATATCTGAACGCACCTTTCAACATGTTTCAGATATGCACATCTGAAGTCACCCTTTTTTCATATTTTAATACTTAAACATCAGATTTAAAATTCTAGAGGTAGTCTTGGATATGCATGGTCACTCCTACCACTATTTTATTCATTTTCTTTCCCCCATAACCAAAACCCTCAACAAAATTTCAACCATTCTCAATCAATTTTTTGTCTCCAAACCAAGTTTCAAGCATAGAAAGCTGCAATTTAAGATAAACTTTCCTCATTTTATCTCATATTCCTTGCATTGATGCTGATTTGTGGATGAATAAAACAACGTCAGTTCGGATATGCATATTCAAATTCAACCTACCATAATTCAAATGTGCATATCTGAAAACATGTCTGTTACATAAACAAAATTGTATTTTAACTGAATTTATGTTTTTTTTAGCCGTGTTAGGTATGGTGCATACCAACAATATTCCCAAAGCTGTCGTAAAGATTCTGGACAAGGTCAATGAAGATGGTAAGTCGAATGAGGTGAAAGACATTGATAAAATGATTGATGTCGTGATAGATGTTGGACAAAAATTTACGAATGGTAAAAATTTTCACCTCTCGTCAACATATGCTTGAATGTGTTCGAATGAAAGCTAGCAAACTTGGGTTTGGAGTTGAGATTGGAAGTTCCGACAATGGCTAGTAGAAGGAAAATATTTGATGTGATGACATGCGAGAGAAGTGGGAAATATTTTCCAAAAATTCAGAAGTTAAAACATGATGACACGAGATCGAGGAAATGTGAGTGTCCGTTTAAATTGCACGGTTCTTGTAGGGTAGATGATTTATGGCGGTTTAGTGTCATTTCCGATATGCATAATCTTGCATTGAACACTAAGTTACAAGGGCATCCAATTGTATGTCAGTTTAAGTCGGAAGAGAAGGAATCTATTTCAGAATTGTCGTTAATCAAAGTTGCATCGATAAACATAACTTTCTGGTTTGAAACGGAAAAGACCAGAAAGTGTTTCAAATATCATGTCGGTTTACAATAAACTTTATAAACAACACATTGCATAAAGAGGTCCGAGGTCCGAAATGCAACATCTTTTAAAACTTTTGGACAATAACCACTACGTTTCAAGGTACAGATTTTGTGAGGACAATGTCAATATTCGTGACATATTTTGGACTTATCAAATATCAAGTTGTTCAACATATTTCCAACCATCCTTATGATTGATTCCACGTACTAGACCAATAAGTATAAGCCTCCGCTTCTAGAAATTGTTGGTGTCACCTCTATGGACAAAACATTTTCAGTGGAATTTGTTTTTTTGGAATGTGAGAAAGAAGACAACATCACATGGGCATTGGGTATATGCAAAACTTTGTTGAAGGATCCACAAAATATACAAAACTTGAGTATCATTCACCCTCACTTGACACTTGAAGAAACATAAAGTTCACCCCGTTTGAGTTCAAGAACGACAATGATTTAGAAGTTATGTGGGGTACTTTTCAACGATACTTTTCTAAGGATTCGATTGAGGTGGATGCAAAGCTTCAAAGATTGAGAGGAAATGTTATAAAAATGTTGCAACATCCTCAACTAACTGTTTATAACAATATGTAATTTTAAGTTTTTGTAGAACTATATGTAATTTTAATGAATTATGTTGAATCTATGTTATGAATTATGTTGATTCTTCTGTCCCAGAGATAAATTCAGATATGCATATCCGAAATAGGCAATTAGGTGGCTTCATATATGCATATGTCAAGTCAATTTAATAATAAATGAATCGTAACTTTGAATATGCACATGCGAATCCACCTATTAATGACAAATACGTTGCGTTCAGATATGCACAACGGAAGTCTAGGGATATTTTAGGTTTTTCGGTAGGGGTCTCCAAGAAATATAAAAGTGGAGAAAGAAATTCTCTTGGATAAATACAACAAACTTGCTCAAATTGATCTAAAAAAATGGGTTAGGCCAGATTATTTGGTGAACATGGAGATTTTGCCATGTAACCCTTTTAAATGTACGTGATACCCCTCTAATTTTTTATAATACTAAAAAGTAATATATGTCAATTTTCAGTTAAATATATCACATGAAAAATATGAATGAATGAATAAATCCAATACGACAGTATAAAAGTCTGGTATGAAATTTTATCTATTTAAAAAAAATCCGATGTTTGGAAAAATATACCCTTTTTAAAAAAAAAACCATGGATTATCGAAGTTTTCCCAAAATGGAGAAAAATCTGGTAGTGTTAAATCATCATTTTTTAAAGATCATGCATTTACTGGATCTTTAGCGGGAATATAAAATATCTGGTAGTTTGAAATTTTACGGTTAAGATTTTGTCGACAATTTTGTATGATTGTGATTGCACAGACAATTCTGTGTGGTCCATAATGAATTCAAACTTGTATAAATAAGGATAATATGTTGTTAAAAAACATCTTAGAATATTTCAATATTCGTATCTGACAATTGTGGGCGTGAAACCTCCTATTAATTTTTGACTCTTTGAGAACACCCATACTCTCGCTGTTCTGAGATCCAAGTTAGATAATCTGTTGCCCCAACTGACAACAGAAAGGTGGTTAAGATTGAGTTTCGTTCACCATCGATTGATACTGAAAGAAAGTTTATATACAACAACTTCGAGCTGAAGAGTGATGAAGGAAGGTTATGTGTAAAACATATCACCGTAGGCCAACAAAGGGACCGATTGAGTTTGATGCGACAATTTTTAGATCTATCGACGATATTGTCAAGATGTTGAAACATCCAAAATCATCTAGTAGTGCTTGATTTTGTTATTTATTATTGTTTTGTTAAGTTATGTTATTTTTCCGTGTTTAGTGATGTTAATCCCGTAATAATTCAATGTTAAATTAAAATGTCAGTAATATACAAATAATACCAAAATAATAAAATTTACACAGATTCCCCACAAGCTATGTGTGTTATCTGCGATGCAAAATATAAACCTTACCATCTAGGTTTGTCAAACCCATTAGGTTATCTATAAGTACTATTATCATCTGCAGATGCTACTGGTCAGCCACACCAGATGAAGGCGATGGTGTTGGAAATCCACCAAATATCTATGATGAATTTCTCCTCAATGACAATGAATTATGAGAACAAAAAGAAAAGAGAGAAGACAATTATTTTCTACAGAGTTTCTCTTTGCCCACAAAC